TAGATTTCTGCTTACCATGACTCCCAAGTCTTTTTCACATTCTGTATGACCAAGCTCTACTTCACCTAGAATATAGCTTCGAGGGTTATTTTCAGTACCAAGGGCAAGTACCTTACACTTATCCAATATATATATATATATTATATATATATATATATATATATATATATTATATATATATATATATATATATTATATATATATATATATGTCGTGCCGAATAGGAGAACTTGCGATCTTGGCTTAAATAGCAACGTTCATCTTGCCATATAGGACAAGTGAAAATTTGTGTATGCAATAATTTCGCCAAAATCAGTCTTAACTTAACGAAAAAAATATATTTCACTGTGTTTGTTTAGTATTAAATTATTGTAAACAAATCTAAAATATATTTAGTTGGGTTAGGCTAAAATAAATTGCGCTTGTTATAATAAGGTTAGGTAAGTTTTCTAAGTTCCTTTTGGTGCAAAATTATAAATTTTTACATCAACATTAATGAAAAAAATATATCTTTAAACGTATAAGAGAAAATTTCAGAAAGGGCTTAATTTTAAATGAGTTCTTGCTCATTGACCAGTTTTACATATTCGGCACGACATATATATATATATATATTATATATATATATATATATATATATATATATATTATAATATATATATATATATATATATGTCGTGCCGAATAGACAGGACTTGCGATCTTGGCTTAAATAGCAACGCTCATCTTGCCATATAGGACAAGTGAAAATTTGTGTATGCAATAATTTCGCCAAAATCATTCTGAACCTAACGAAAAAATATATTTCACTGTGTTTGTTTAGTATTAAATTATTGTAAACAAATCTAAAATATATTTTGTTGGGTTAGGCTAAAATAAATTGTTCTTGTTATAATAAGGTTAGGTAAGTTTTCTAAGATTCTTTTGGGGCAAAATTAAATTTTTTTACAATTACATTAATGAAAAAAATATATCTTTAAACGTATAAGAGAAAATTTCAGAAAGGACTTAATTATAAATGAGTTTTTGCTAATTGACCAGTTTTACATATTCGGCACGACATATATATATATATATATATTATATATATATATATATATATGTGTGTGTGTGTGTGTGTGTGTGTGTGTGTGTGTGTGTGTGTGTGTGTGTGTGTGTGTGTGTGTGTGTGTGTGTGTATTTCGCCTGTTCTTGCGAATTCCTTGCATTGTTAAATTCTCTAGTGAGGTTGATGCATGCAGGGGATGAGATGAAAAGCTGTAAGCTTTCTCCCTGAAAGCTGGCTGCCTTGGATCAAAGTCTAGCGCAAGCTGGACGCCAAGGTATTGGTCCAGTGTGGGTAATTGGTTAAAGCACTGCGTACCTTGTTCTAAGGTTCGTAGGTTCGAGTCTCCTTCAGCCAGAGATCAGTGTTTGTGTATATTTCGCCTGCTCTTGCGAATTCCTTGTATATATATATATATATATATATTTATATAATATATATATATATATTATATATATATTTATTTATTTGTTTACAATAATTTAATACTAAACAAACACAGTGAAATATATTTTTTTCGTTAGGTTCAGAATGATTTTGGCGAAATTATTGCATTCACAAATTTTCACTTGTCCTATATGGCAAGATGAGCGTTGCTATTTAAGACAAGATGGCAAGTTCTGCCTATTCGGCACGACATATATATGTCGTGCCGAATATGTAAAACTGGTCAATTAGCAAGAACTCATTTAAAATTAAGTCTTTTCTGAAATTTTCTCTTATATGTTTAAAGATATATTTTTTCATTAATATTAATGTAAAAAATTTTAATTTTGCACCAAAAGTATCTTAGAAAACTTACCTAACCTTATTATAACAAGAGCAATTTATTTTAGCCTAACCCAACTAAATATATTTAAAATATGTTTACAATAATTTAATACTAAAGAAACACAATCAAATATATTTTTTTCGTTAGGTTCAGAATGATTTTTGGCGAAATTATTACATACACAAATTTTCGCTTGTTCTATATGGCAAGATGAGCGTTGCTATTTAAGCCAAGATCGCAAGTTCTGCCTATTCGGCACGATATATATATATTATTGGAAAAAAATGGAAATTTGCGACCGAAAAAAATGAACAAAAGTTAATTATTTCATGAATGCATAAAATATATGTAGATACTTGTCTATTTTATCATTTACTACCATAAAGTATACACAGATCTATTATAAAATGTTAAAATTTATTAAAACTTACACACACAAAGAATGACAGATTTTATGTGTTCTATTCTCGGTCCAGAGAAGTGAAAACAAACGAACAGATGCAGTAATAATAATAATAATAATAATAATAATAATAATAATAATAATAATAATAATAATGTAATTAGTATTAGTAGTTGAATCATAACTAAGAGCTAAACCCACAGGGGACGGATATATAATAATAACAATAACAATAATATATTATTATTACAGATGGTATATGTTAAATTCTACGTCAGGAGAAATGTAAACAAAAGTATAGATACAAAATTAAATCATAAATAAATATAAATTTCTTTTTCACATTATCTTTAAATTTTTGATGTCTAGTGTTAGTAACACGTATAACATGTACAGTTTATTATATAAGACAATATTAATGTAGGTACTGACAGATGATTTATCTTGTAAACAGACGATGTATACTTTAGGTATCCATAAATACAGTACAGTACTGTAAATGTATTTTCTCTTATGATTTTCTTAATAACATTTTCTTTTCTGTAGCTTACTTTATTGTAAGAATAGTGTATAATACGTGTAACATGCAAAATGTGTGTTAATTGATTGCTTATGTTATCGGTAAGGCTTCCGGTCAACAGTAGTCCATTAGTGGTTAAGTTTTTGGGGAGTTGAAAGTTATACGCAGATTTTCGACTGCGCGGGGTCGGCGCCCCTAACCCTCGCATTGTTCAAGGGTCAACTGTATATGTGTATATTATCATGTATTGATTCCCCAGGAAATACATAATCTATATACTTTGGTGCATATTATGCTTTCATGGAGAGAGATATGCTTTGATGCTGGTGAAGGGCTCTTGATTCAAAGAATCAGAGCTGGTGAGGTTGAGAGAAAACACGGATAGATAAGAGAAGAAAAACTGAGCAGTAATACAGTTATTTCAGTCTAAAAAATATTAGAATGATAACGCCAGACAAATCCTACATAACTTATAAATAATTAACACAGGGTTGTAAATAATTAACACAGGGTTGTAAATAATTAAGACAAGGTTGTAAATAATTAACACAAGGATGTAAATAACTATCACAAGGTAGTGAATAACTTACCACAAGGTCGTACATAACTATCAAAAGGTCGCTCGTGAATGACTATCACAAAACCTTGTATAACTCACAGATAACAGTAGAATGTATAATGCAAAGAGTTTGGGTCAAAGGACACAGGTACATACCTTGTGGGACAACTTTTAATGGAAACCACGGAACGGGTGGCGATTGAACCCATGCCAAGCGAGTCTTAAAACTCCAGGCCAGTGTCCTGAGGCTTTAATCACTGCAAATGCTACAAGGGAAGGAGAAGACAAGTAGCACTAGAAGGCGTGAGGTCATCTAATTGCCCTGGTCGTCTGATTGCCCTGGTTGTCTAATTGCCCTAGTCATGTAATTGGAAAGGGCAGCCAAATAGCATGTAGCGCTGTCGTGTTTGTCAGAGTTGTAGAGATGTAGCAGTCGCCAGCACTTTGTCTACGGTGTTTGAAACAGCAGTTAAAGATGTTCCTGTATAACAGCTCCTTTTCCAGCACCTATCTATGTCGGGCTTTTTGTGATCAGCCGGGCTGTGATTCGTACGTCTATTTACGTAACAGCCTGGTTAATCAGACCATGATCCACCACGAGGCCTGTTCTCAGACCGGGCCGTGGGGGCGTTGACCCCCGAAACCCTCTCCGGGTAAACTCCAGGCAATGTGTGGGATAGCTTCCTTTGGACCTATGTAGGACACGAGTGATGTCTCTTACAAGTACTACATTTCTTTTTGTGTGGACAGATTTCTCCCAGTCTTTCTTACGTAGATCTTGCTGTAACCCTACACATGGTGTGATGTATGTATGCTCTTGCCTCATTGTTGGGTGTATCTACAGTCACTGGTGAAGTCTATTACTGGGCAAGTCTCTTCCTGGTGAGGTCTCTTCCTGGTGAAGCCTTCCTGGTGAGGTCTCTTCCTGGCGAAGTCTTCCTGGTGAGGTCTCTTCCTGGTGAGGTCTCTTCCTGGTGGAGCCTTCCTGGTGAGGTCTCTGATAGATGTGACTCTGATAGCTGCGAATTTCACTTCAAGAAAGATCCTGCATAGCATTATAAGGTAGTCCTCCTCCTCCTCCAGGTAGGATCAAGAATCTCAGTTTCTTGCCAGTGGTGCTTCTAGTGGAGTTGAGTTACTGAGTATAGATTTTGCCTTGCGTTTACAAACTTGTGTAAAATAGGGAGGGAAGTGTAAGCGAGTGAAGCCATGAGTAACGTATTGGAAATCTTTTTTCTTGGAATTTGGGCTTGGAGATATGGAGAGTTTTTAGGTGTTACTGGGGAATGATGGAATTAATACGATAATGGTATACAATGCCGAGTAGATGAAGAATTAGATACATGTGCAACGTTTGGGTATCTTTATTTGTAGACGTTTCTCCATCTAGTGGCTTTATCAATACAATACAAGGACATAATGTGAAGAATGTAGAAATGTATACAAAAGATGATGTAATGAGTCCCCCAGCCCTGTACTCTTGTAGACTACGGTGCTCTTCAACTCCAAGGCTGAGGGACTGATTACCTTATCTTTTGTATATAATTCTACATTCAACACATTATGTCCCTTGTATTGATAAAGCCACAGGATGGAGAAACGTCTACAAATAAAGATACCCAGATGTTACATGCATGTCTAATTCTTCATCAAGTATGATGAAGTTCGAGTGTCGTGTATAACCAGAGTGTTCTCCTTCAG